CCGACCCCCGCGGGGGGGCTGCCCGGGCGCCGGCAGGGTCTGGGCGCGCTCCCGGCTCTCCGCGAAGCTGGATTCGCTTCTCGTCCCTCTTCCTACCACCAGCACCCACGGTGCCCTTGCCCAGCTCCCCAGGGTCCCACCTGGCCACGCGGGGGCTCCTTTCTGGCTCTGCGTCCAGCTCCTCTTTCCTTCCCGTCTCCCCATTGCCTGCTGTCCCTGGTAAGAAACTGCAGCCAAATTAAGGTCTTCCTTCAACCTGAGGTAAGGAAAGGACCCACGGTTTACTCCCTTTTGGGCACCATAAATAGAGCATATTAGCAAGCGGCTGTATTAAGGGAGTGTGCAACACAGACTTTTATGCACAAGTTTTCTTTTATTTCATCCCCTGCAGCCCTTCCCCCACCCCCTCCCTCCCCCCGCGCACACGCACCTTGTTTGTTCATCCATGGGGCTTTCTGGGTCAGGCATTTCTGTGGGACTCCCACAAACCAGCTACCATCTGGCCTGGTTTTTATGAACGTTAATAGGTATTTCAAGCTGTACCAGGTCTTTGAGAGGGAGACTAGCGAAGCATAGGCTATATTTAGCGGCTATAAATTAAAATCCATCTTGGCAATTGAGACACGAAATAATAATAATTTTAAAAAATCACAACTGAGAAAGGAAGGTTATTTTGCTGTATGTGGGCAAACGTGTTTTTAAATCGCCTTACAGATAGCATTGTCCCTGAAGGGCAAGGAACATGCCACTAAAAATTGAACCAACTTGACATATGCCTTCATTTCCCTGGAAGGCATCTACTACATTCTGCCAAGAAATAAGCAGTATTAGACTCAATGGTAAATCAAAAATGCTGCCATCTTCCTTGTCTTGGTATTTTTTGTTTGTTTTTTGTTGCTGTTTTTAAAAAAAAAACAAACCCTGGTCTTGATTTTAATATTTTGGTGACTTACTATGTGAGAGAGAGAAAAATCTAACACAATTACAAGCTGAGTTGACCTAGAGCTGCAGCAAAGCTGTTTAACCCTCCAGCACTTGTCAGACAGTATCTGCATTTGAGGATAGGTTTGGGGTTTTATTTCACTGTTGAGCTAGACTACATGAAAACGCCATTCCTGGTGAACCTGGGGCATGATGTTTAAGTCTTATTATAAAAGACCAAAGTACAACTAAATGAAATAATATCCAAGATTTTCAAATGAGGGCATTCATTCCTTGTAGATTAAGTAAAAAGTTTTTAGAGGTGCCCCCATTTACTTCCCGTTTGACAGTCCATCATTTAGGTGCTTTTCAAAAAATGATCTGCTCTCTTCAAACGTGCCACGCACTCCACTGCTTCTGCTATAGTTAATGGAAGCTGCTTGATATTCAGCCCTTGTGAAAATCAGACCTTTTACCAAAACTGGGAATTTCAAAAGTCCTGGAAGGACTTGAGGGCAGAAAGCCCATTGAATTTCAGTGAGACTTGTATTCCAAGATCGTGTAGGTGCTTAAAAAAATCTAACCCTAGCTCCATGTTTACATACTTAACAGTATTTAAAATAAATAAAAAATGTGCTTCCTAGGCCCTGTGCTCATGACTCATACACTTAAAAGACACAGTGCCCACTTGAACAAAAAATCTGGATGGTCACTTTTTGAATCTCCCATCCAATGAAGCAGTCTAGTGAGTGGAAAGATGGGTTTTTTTGCTCTGTCTGGGGACTAGTAAATAGTCATCTTTCTCTTGATTTTGATCTTATTTGAGAAAGCAGCTGGCTTAATGGTAGATCAATAGCTGGTTCAGAATAAACGAGAAAAGTATGGCCTAACCACTAAAAGGATAGAAGAGCACTTCATAAGGGTAAAAGTCAAAACCTGACAAGGAGAGTATATGCATGAGAGAGGGAAGGAGCGCTGTTTGAGAGCTCCTGAGACAGGAGACTTTTAGCAGGGAACATTTAATCTCCGTCATCTCACATTCAACGCTTTAGATGGACTCAGATAACCTCACTTCCCCCTCCCTTGAGCAAAGTCACTTGCAAGTTGGGAAATGAGAGAAGTTGAATCAAGTTTGATCTTCAAGGACCCGATCCCTG